ATTTATAAAAATGCTTAAAGAGAAACAGTATATGCAAGTTGAGCAGTCCTGTGTGTTCTGCAAGAGGAAACTGAAACTCTCTTAAAGTTGAAAACAAACGTGGAGCCTAATGGCAGATACTTAAATCGCAGCTGATCCTTCTATAAAGAGGCTCTTCCGTGATGTTGGGGCTTATGGTAGGAAGGGAGATATTTACAGTAACACTGTACATAGCTCTTTAACCCAGCAGACTGCCACTTTTAACAGAAAATTGGTTTTTGCCAACACATTCATGGTATGTAGATAGACACGGAGAAAAGGCAGGCAAAGTAAATAACTTGTATTTCAAGTAAGGCAGAAAGCACACCTATAGAGAAACATACTTAGATGGCTTTCTGTATGCTTATACCTTTTGAAATTATTAAATTACATGAGTGGCTTCTGATCATATCTTTTTATGTGCAAGTGATTTGTTTTAGAATAACTTTAATTTAATGTGAAGTTGCTTTTCATTCTGGCATGGACATCATCCAGGTAATATGTGCAAGCCCTGGTCTTTTAGATCCTCAGTGGACTTTGGACAGCAGAGCATAGATGGCATTATAATGGAGAGCTATTGATGATGATTCTTGCCGACACTTAGTTTATCCATGTCCCTTACAATGCCAACTGATGTGCCTGGCACGTTAGGTGTATAGCAGATGTTTTATTTTAGCCAGCTTGCTATGCTAGAAGGGTGACCGTGATTCTAAGACTTTCACTCGTTTCAGAGTGTATTAAGTCTACCGAGAAGACGAGCAGAAAAACTCAGACTTTTCACTATTGTTCCTGAATTTTATTTAGTTAAAAGTGAAAAGATTACTTAACATTTGTGTGGTGTAATAGGACACTAATGTAAAGAAAAGTGGGGTTTGACTTTTTATTAAATCTCAAGTGACTTACAGTTACTCAGTTCAGGTTTATCTAAAACAACCAGAATTTCCTTAATGGCTTTGTATGACTTAAATAGTTCTAAAATAATACTGTCAGCTGTTAAATTTTCATTAGGACATACTGAATCCACCTCGTCAGGAATCACATGCTGTATGTGTTTCAGTGTTTGTTGGTCTATATCTGGAAAGCTTTTCTTTCTTAATATCTTGTCTCCTAACCCTGTTGCTCTATCCAGTGACACTTCGTAGCTTTGTCCACAGCTGAGAGGGACTTTGATCTCTACCGTGGCAGAAAATTTTCTACTACTTTTCCCACAGATGTAGCTTCTGTTATCTCTTACTACTTTCTCTGTCAGTTTTTAAGCTAAAAATTTCAAGCTGTACAAATGTAAAGGTGCCAACATAAATTTTTGTAAACCTGAACTATGTAACAGACTTTTGAGAATGCTGCCTGCCTTTTCAAGGTGCCTTTTGCCTTTTATTGCTTTTATGATTTTTCATTCTAATAGCCTATTACCCTATTTTTGTGGCCATTTTTGTTTTCATTTGGTATTTTAGTTTTGAGCGTGGTGCTACTGAAGCAAACTGTACCTAATCCGTAGGATTACTGCTCTTCATCCATCCCATGTATTTTGAGTAAATTTATGTTGGCCGTAGTGTCCACTTTCAGAGTTAAGTTCAGCAGTTTGAGGAGATTTCTATGGAATTGTGGCTGTTTATTGAATGGTATTTTCCAAAGGATGCATCACACCTGAGATTCTTGAATGTGATTGCACTGGAGAAGGATGGGATTTTTAGCTTTCAAGGCTTGAGAAACCTCCTATCACAGTCTGCTGGTGCTTCGCCCCTCCTGCATTTTTAAGTGGAAATGTTCTGAACAAGGGGAGAGCGTGCATTAAATAGTAAACTGCTTTTATCTTAACAGAGAACATCAAGATTGGTTGCATATGTGCCGTGTTATACCACGTTTCCAAAAAAGACTATAATTCCTTTTAGAATGTACCGTTGTCCTAAATTTAAGACGACAAGAAGAAGCTCCAGAAGTGCAGTCGATGTGCAAGTGCCCTCCTATGGCAATTGCTGTTCGTGACGGCCGTCACCCGTGCTGCAGGACGACACGTGTGGATCAGTGCTAGCTAGCAATTTCCAGAGGGATTCGGGTAATAATGTCAGGGCGATGTAAGAAGATACTCTGTAAAATTTGCCTTCAGGCATCTGTATTTCACATTTTCCCTGATCCCTGCATAAAACAAAAACGCAAGTACAAAACCACAGCAAATAGCCCTGCATGTCTGAAATGTCTAATACAGCCTTGAAAAACAATTGTGAAAAGGATGTGCTTATATCTGGCTCCCCACCCTCCTTCCAGGGGAACTGGGAGGGGCACTTCTTGTCCAAATTAAGAGATGCAATGATTTCCTGTACGACTGCCATGGTATAGATTCATCTGCGCTTGTTTTCTTTAGGGGAGCAGAAGTTTTTCTTTCTTGTTTCGGAAGAGATCCTTTAGCCATTTGAATCTTCTTTCTCACAGGTTTTAACCTGAGCCGTGTTAATCTGAGAATGCTTAAAAAGATCTTTTGTTTTGTTCGCAGCTAATATGTTGAACTGAATTTTTTTGTGGTAGACCTTTTGCTGAAATCCCGTAGTCCATGCTGAAGAACTCGCTTCTTCAAAAGAAAGATTTAATGGGACACTTCATTTGAATTGCTCTTAGGATCTGTAGTGTTTTCAGAGCTATTATGCAAATAAATTGTTTGTTTATGTCTTGAAAAATCATTGTTTATCCCAACTATTTTTAGTAGCTGAAGATTCTTATACTCTTGGCATTTGAAAGGCTAAATATATTTGTATTGTAAGTTACTGTTGGCTCTTAAATTTCTAAAATCCTTTGATGATATGACAAGTGTATCAGACTAAACCGCATGTTTCCAGTTGTGTAAACAGAAACTTCTTTCGTGAGTTTCAGCTGTTCTCTTCTGCGTCGCATTTTGCGCCTTTTGCACATAGCTGTGTGTGGGCTTGGGTTGTTCCAGGATACGTTTCAGTGTCAGAAAGAACAAAAGAAGAGCTTTTTGCATACTGTTGAATTCAGACATCCGGCATTTGCCACTTCTGTTACTCTTTATGCCATCGATACCTGTTTAATTGACAACTTGAGTGCGTCGCGTTTGCAAAACCGTTTGTTTCTCTATGAGTCTGAATGCATTTCCTTGTAGACAAAATATGCATAAGGAAAAAGCTGATGTTAGCTGCTGGGGTTTTACAAGATCAGCTTTTAATATTGCCCATTTTTACAGTAGCCTGCATGTGGCAGATAACTCTGAAATCTTGTTTTCACAGCCTCCTTTGTATAGTTACACTTCCCACTGCAGTGATATTTATGACTGCGTTAGAAAGAAGGAAAGGTTATACTCCCCAGAATGACTGATAAACAGCTGTTTCAGAAGCGCCTATAGCCTAGGAACCATATTCTAATGTTTTGCAGCCTCTAGGCAGGTATTGATTCAAATATGAATTCAAATGTGAATTCATTGTTCTAGTTGCACTAGAGTTAAAAATAGCTTGTGTTAGTGAGCCTAATTCTCGGGCATATAGTCACAGCTTTCAGTGTGCGAGACTTGGGTTTTTTTTTTTAAAGAGTCTTTTTTTTCTCAACTCCTTAAAACTTGGAGTTAGTTTTTTTTCTTTCACCTGTTTGAACAAAGTACCATCTGTGTAAATGTATTTCCCGCGAGACTTGGGGTTTTTTTTTTAAAGAGTCTTTTTTTTCCTCAAGAATGCAGTTACCTTAAAACTTGGAGTTAGTTTTTTTTCTTTCACCTGTTTGAACAAAGTACCATCTGTGTAAATGTATTTCCCACTTCAGTTGCAGATCGCCTGGGCTGTGACCCTCGAACCCGTTTCCAAGTCCCACCAAACACCAAGCAGTGGATTGCTCTCCTCCAGCGAGGAAACTGTACCTTTAGAGAGAAAATACTGCGAGCAGCTTCACATAATGCCACAGCTGTGGTCATTTACAACAATATATCCAGTGAAGAACCTGTCACGATGACTCATCAAGGTAATAAAGCGCAATCTCTTTCACTATAATTCTTTTTTGCCCGAGTACTCTTTTGCCATGTAAACTATTGCTAAAGAGCCGTTGGCAGTGCACAAAGGATGCTATTTGAAATAGCTTGTTCTCTAATGATGTTTCCATGTACGCAGTATAGTGAAATAAGCCAATAATTCTGAGAAGTTATTTTCCTTTCGTGTACGTTTTACGCAGTGAGGAAACTTTCCTCTGCGGTGGAGATACGGGTGTCTCGGAGTGAGGAAATACCTGTAAGATCTTAGGAGCAGTCTGTTTAAAACCTTGCTGAAGAAGAAAAGCTACTTTATGACGAAGGTCTAGAGTTTTACAAAGCATCTGTACCTCGAAAAATTTTATAGTAGCATGTCTTCAACCTGCTGTTATGGTGGGGACATTCAAATGTTAACAGTTACATTGGGATCTGAGCTCGCACGCTTTTTGTAATGACAGTTCACAGAGGGTTCTCTTTCTACCTTGTGTCTTCGAGTGCCATACAGGAATCAACAAAACTTAGTGATTTGGAGAGCAGTTGTCTAGAATTAGACTATATGATGAAATACTGGACTTCTACTTTTTTAGGGCTATCTATGTGCAAAATTTTGCTGTTACTAATGAGTTACTTTAACCGGTGGGAGCCTGATATATAACAGTTCTCCTTGGTTAAAAATTGTTTTCACAATTCTGATAACTACTTTTTTCATTTCCCCAGAAGACTTTCTTAGTTTGGAATTATTCAGCTTAATCAGAAAAGGCATATTTCTGTATTTGATGGCTGTACTGCTGGCAGCTTTTTTTTCCCTAGAATATTTTCAGTCCTTTTTCTTTAAGCATAGGGGGTTGCTTGGAAACTGGAATTTCCTAATTCTTGCTCTGCATATTGTCACACAAGTAGAATTGAATTTTTTTACTAAAGTGCTGTGGTTGCTTCTTTCTCTCTCTTTTCACATGGGAAATGTCTTGTGGCTGCTTCTGGTTTAGTGGGGTTTGACCTTCCCAATTCTGTATACCACAGAAATTTTCCAGGGAGATTTTGACCTCTGTGTAGCAATTCAAAGCCTGTTGACAATTTTTATCTTGGGTACCTTCCTTAGACACGTAATCTGCAGGCAAAAAGTCCCATATTCTAGTGAAATGCTTTTTACCACCTCCCTTTTATGTCATTTTCTTTTTTTTTTTGCCACCCTCTGCTGATGTAGAACCTTCAGCTCTGGTCTCTCTTTGAAATACCTTTGAGATTGTAAGGTCGGCAGTCTCTGTTTAGGAATGACTTGTGACTTCTCCTGTGGCCTGTAATACCTTACTGTGGCAGAAAAAAGGCTACCAATAACAACACAGCTCTAGTATTGTTTGCTCTAATACATGTTAAATTATATAATGGGTTTGATTATCATTTTAATACCTTCTTTCTCATAACGTTGTTAGATTTGGTAGGTGCTTTCATAGCAATGGGATGGTGTCTGTCTGTTATTAGGAAACCCTTGTTCACTCGGTGCTTCAGCTCTGAAGACTAGTGTCTTGCCTTTGAAACTCTACCAATAGGTCCAGTGGTTCTGGTAGATTGAAATAATGTCTCAAGTTATAAAACATGAGAGCTGCTGTAGGTGAAATAATGTCTTATAAGCTAGTCAGGCAGCTGTTTGGATACTTGCTGTTTGGGAAAAAAGCTAATACTGTTGACTTAATAAGCATGTTGGCTTCCAAACATTTACTCATGGCAAGCTTTAAAAAAATGTAATTAGTGGAGATGATGCATATTTTTTCTTTGAGCATTTGAGATACTGCTTTTTAGCTGTGTGTACTCAGTCCCTGGTATACTGGAATCTCAGTCACTGATTTGGGCTGTAGGCACAACCTCAAAATTAATATTGGACTTGAAGTGTTCAAACTATGAGATGGACTAAAAGTAATTATCTAGAACTGAAGTACCACCTTAGCACCGCGCGGTACCAAAGAGGAATGTTGCTCCACAGCTCTTGTTTTGATTGCACCATGGTCATGTAAGGGATCTCCTTTGCAATCTGTGCTTTGCAGAGCTTCCTATAAATAACTTCCTGTTTGCTTGATGTAAGAACTGCAAGTGTGTGTAACTGAGATGTAGACTAGTCCTTTGGTGTTAGCCTCAGCACAGGGAGGGTTTGGAATCCAGCATTCCCCTCAGTGAGAATTATTCTAAATGGGGTATAGATTCATGAACCTACGCTTACGTGACGAGCCTATTCAAACAAATGTTGTGTTTTACACATTCCAGGCACCCTCTTCTCTTCCTTTTTCTGCCTTTTCAATCATATCACTGCTTGTATGCTTCTTAGGTCGTGAGCGACCACATCATCTGCTAATTAGATATTTCAGTGCCCTACATCTCTTCTCTTTAGTATTTTCTATCCCTAAAGGTCGGGAGGAGTTGACCCTTTGTATTTGATAGCTGTTCTGCTGCTGAATCAATTAAATAGAGTTGATATAAAGTGTAAATGAAGGTGAGGCACCAAGTTGATCTTATTTCCATATGTTATCTTGTGCTGTGCAGTATTCCTCTTTTCTTTTAAAAATACATTCTTCGCAAGGCAGTTTCACAACTGTATTATGACCACCAGGTTCATGGCTCTGTCTTCCTTCCACAGAGAGGTGAAAATAGACATTGTGTCACTTTATATCACTGTAATGTAATTTTTATACTGCTGCATACCAAACCTTAGGAATATTCTGTCTTCCTGGTGAAGCAGAGAGGAAAGTGGCAGCTGCTGATAATGCACAATGTGAACTGCACACTTTCCTACATGGATACTTGCATGAATTCCAATCACCAGCTTAGGGAACGTCAGTGCTAAAAATAAGTAAAATATTACGTGGATTTACAGATGTTGCCCACCTGCAGAGAGGTGATTCCCTGTGAAAAGAGCTCAGTAAGCAATTCTCACCTACGGGATTAGTATTTTATCCAGGTTATTTTATGCTTGAACACACATTTGAAAATTTTAATCTTACGGAAATTTGTTCGTACTCAGCATATTACTTAACAGTATATAAATTCCTTCTGGTGGCTAGATAACAACTGTCACTCTTGAATCAGTCTGTCATCACCATGTCAGATGGGCAGTTTCTATTCCTATATCAGAATTTGCTTTTTCTTCTGTGATAATCTACTAAGTCTCTGCCCTTTCAACTTCAAGTTGAGTTTTAAAACAGGTATTAACCTTAAGGAGTTGGTGAACTTTTTTTAAAAAAACAGATTTCTGTTCATGTTATTTGCAACAGTATTTTCTTTTCTCTGGGTATATCCTTGTATGTATTACTGTGTGCATGTAAAATAAACATTTTTACGCATTCTTGTGGATGTCCTAAGTGAAGGACGATGTGTCAACCTAAGTGAAGGATGTCTTTCCCAGCATAGGTTATGTTAGACTATGATATCACTGGCAGGAAGGCAGTTTTATGAGTGGTTTTGCTTGCTACTTCTGTTAAAGTAGAACAAATATTGTCTAATGTGAAAAAGAACCTATGTGGTAGACAAAATATGTAGTAGCTGTCTCCCTTGTAATAAATTATGGCAATAGGAAGGAAATGCAGGTAAAATAGCATTTTAATTCTTTTTTTGTTTGTGTGTGGTGTAGATAGTCCTGTCAAGTACAAAATAGTTAGATCTCTATTAAAATCTAGATTTTTATTTGGATTTGTAGAAAAGAATAGACGCCAAAGAAGTTAAAATTTCATACTCAGAATTTATGGAATATAAGTGTAAAAATATAAACAAGTCTAAAAGAGTCTGTCAAAATGAAGCTGCTGGATTCCAGTAACTACTGTTCATCAGTGCTGAAGAAATCTCTTGAGGTATTTAGACACCTTTTGAATAGCATACCTTTCTCAGAGGATTTACCTGATACAGATAAGTCTTTTAAAGTCTTTAGAGCAAACTGCAGACATCCTATCAGGGTCAGTCTTCACTGCACTTCTAAAGAAACGATGCACTCGTTTTCTGCAAGAAGGTGTTTCTGTTCCGTGATGTGCACAGAAGATGACGGTCCCCTGCTGTAGAACTGCGGGAGAGCTGCCCAGCCCTGGCTTCCAGAAACCGCTTCCTTCCAAGGGGAGGACTTCTGATGGCCCTCTCTTCGCCTACAAAGCACGCTAGCTCAGGAAGCAAGGTCTGTACTTGCTTTGAACTGTGATAAAACTGAACGTATTTTATGTGACTTATTTTAGGTCACTGGGTCAGAGACAGGAGGGACAGGAAGTAATTTGGAGTTGTTGCCATCTAATGGCTATTCCGTATCCTTGCCCTAGTTCGGGGTGGGTAGCGTAGACTGGAGATCCAGCAGTGGAAGTGCCGCTCTCCTCGGTTGTGGCACTCGCTGCGTGCAGCACATCTCTTCCTCTGCTGCCTGCCTTTTTCTCACGAATGTCTTTTTATGTAACTGTAAGCTGAACTGATGCGTGAAAGCTGTGGCAGGGTGCATTGCAGATTATCTTGCACAAATGTGTGCTGACGAGTATTTCATCTCTATACCAAATCCACTGCAAAACTTTCCCTGGATTGCTGAGACCTGCTTCTAATCCACTAGCTAACTAGTTTTATATTACAGTATTGTTATTAGAATTTATTATTATTAATTTACCCTGGAATATTAGTGAAAAGGAAGGAGAGATGAGTCGTTGAAGTTGAAGCTTTAAAAAAGGCAAAACGAGGCCCAATAGTCTAACCATAGTTTACATATCTTTGATAATTTTATGTTGTTTACTATTTATATTTGCTAATTGAAAATGTGGGGAACGAGTGTCAACAGCATTACAGTTAATCCTATTTCCTACGGGATTTCTTGGGGGTGTATCCATCAGGAAAATCTGTCCTGCAGTAGGTGAGGTGTCTGACACTTAACAAGGTGTGGAGAGGAATGTGTTTGAAGCACAGATTCTGGACCATAAGGAGGCACTTTCCCAAGATAAGCCAGGGAAACCCCTTTACAAAGCTAACATAGCCTCCGTGCCTTGTGGAG